AAATGTTGATAATCGAATTAAATCAATGTAATCAATGTGAAAATTAACACAAAGATCGTAAAAAATGAGATTTTATTGGTGAGTTTTGAAGTCGTTTACAGTACTGGTAGGTCGGTTTTTCAATGTACATCAAGTCGGTAAGCAATGAAATAACCGAGTTAAATATATGAGTGTTTATAACTGTTTGCCGAATCCTCGTATTGTTTTCGAAACTGCTATTTATAGTTATGCTTGGCACACTTCCCTAGACAAATCATTTCCGTTTTAATGACGATTTGACATCTTAGGGGCGGCGATGACGTAGATGAACTTTTTAGGTAATGATCAGCATGGGCGCGCCTCTATCTGTGTGACGGGTGTCACATCTGTCGGATCGAAGTCGGTTCGTCTTATGACGTCGGTATTTGGATAAACTTTCAGCATTCTACGACTTCCTGATAAACTATTCTTCAACCGAGTTGGTCTTTTCAAGGTTTTGACGACTTGTGTGGACGACTTTCGAAGATTTGCGGCACCGTCTACAAGTTCCGAGATTAGATTACCGAGATGCCATATATTCTGCTTTACGTCGTACAAGATCCAGTTTACGGGTTAGACTTCACGATTTCTTTAATCTAATCTTAATTTTAAGATATTCTATCTTGGTATCAACATAAAACATGCCATTTTTTGACCTATCATCCATCAATTCCATACAAAGGTCAAATGAAGATTTTTCTGTTTGGCATTCTAGGCTCGGTCATCCTTCATTTGATGTTGTAAAAAAAGCCTTAAATGGTTGTAATATTTCCTTTCCAGTCAATGAGAACAAAGAGCTTTGTCATTTCTGTTTACAAAGAAAATCACATAGATTACCTTTTCATGATTCCATTTCACATGACTATGAGTTACTTGAGTTAATCCACACTGATCTTTGGGGACCAGCCCCAATAAAATCAAGCAATGGTTTCCTTTACTATGTAAACTTCATTGATCATAAAACCAGATTTTCCTGGCTCTATCTCCTCAAAGCCAAATCTGACACTTATGCAACATTTTGTCACTTCAAAAATCTGGTTGAAACTCAGTATGAAAGAAAAATAAAAACAGTTCAAAGTGATGGTGGGACTGAGTTTAAAACCTTAATTCCCTTATTCACAAAAAATGGTATTCATCATAGAATATCTTGCACATACACTCCTCAGCAAAATGGTTTAGCTGAAAGAAAGCATAGACATGTTGTGAAAACTGGTCTAACACTTCTTTCACAAAGTCATTTACCTACTAAATTCTGCGATCATGCCTTCACCACAGCTTCTTACCTCATAAATAGAATGCCCTCAAAACTACTTGATTTCAAATCACCATTGGAGATGTTAACTGGTAAGAGGCCAAACTATTCCGAACTTAAGATTTTTGGGTGTCTTTGCTTTCCATATTTGAGGCCCTACAATAAACATAAATTGGAGTTCAGAAGCCAACCTTCTACTTTTATTGGGTATAGCACTCAATATAAAGGTTATAAGGTTCTCCTACCTAATAACATGGTAATAATCACTAGACATGTAACATTCAATGAATCCAGATTCCCTTACCTTGAAAAACATCATTCAGAGAAGATCCCTTATTATCAAGAACAGGCTTTCATAGGCCCACCAATCCTCATTCCTAACCAATCAACCCCTTCTACCAATGACTTACCAAATTTCTCCACTCCTCAGCAAGCTAACTCCCCTCAAAGCAATAATTCCTCAAACAACCAATCCTCAACCCATACTATACCAATAGGTGAGCTTACTATAGAACTACCAATTGATAATAATACACAAAGTCCTACTGTTACTACTAACCTGCAGGACAATGAAGATCACAGGACATCTCAACATCCTACAGTGACAAGATCCAAAGTTGGGATATTCAAACCCAAGATTTATCTTCAGCAGATAGATGAAAACATTGAGGAGCCAAAAACCTTTGCAGAAGCTGTGCAAAGAAAAGAATGGACTGAAGCTATGGATAAAAAATATAAAGCACTCATGAAGAACAATACATGGACTTTGTGTACAACACACAACAAGAAAACATCATAGGGTGCAAATGGGTGTACAAAGTCAAAAGAGATGTAGAAGGGAAGGTGACCAGATGCAAAGTAAGACTAGTAGCCAAGGGCTACACTCAACAAGCAGGTTTTGATTATAATGATACTTACAGCCCAGTGGTTAGGCCAGTAACTATCACAGTTGTCTTTCAGTAGCACTTTCCAAGTCATGGAAACTGAGACAACTAGACATTGATAATGCCTTTCTTAATGGTGATCTTGAGACTGCTCTTTACATGGAGCAACCACTTGATTTTGAAAAGAAGAGCAAAGAAGGAGAACATCTGGTATGCAAACTGAATAAGTCCATATATGGACTCAAACAAGCCTCAAGAGCTTGGTCCACCAAATTAACAAGTATCTTGAAGAGTTTTGGGTTTGTTGTTTCAAAAGTGGATCCTTCTTTGTTTCTTAGACATACTCATCATGATTCAACCATAATTCTTACCTATGTTGATGATATGATCATCACATGAAGCAATGAGGCTTACATTCAACAGCTCATCAATGATCTTTCAACAATTTTCTCATTGAAAAATTTAGGTGAACTGAAGTTCTTTCTTGGCATAGAGATTATTCCAACTGGTAACTCTTGCATCCTATCTCAGAGAAGGTATATTCTTGACATCCTCATGAAAGCTGGAATGACAAATGCAAAATCTCTCAACACACCCATGGTCAGCTCACCTATTTCAAAATTTGAAGGTCAACCACTTGAAAATGGATTTCTTTTCAAAAGCCTAATAGGAGCCTTGCAGTATGCTAGTATAACAAGACCAGACATTGCTTTTAGCATCAACAAGTTGAGCCAATAATTCATGCAAAACCCCTTGAACAGTCATACGAAAGCTCTCAAAATAGTCCTCAGATATTTGGCAGCGACTTTGGATGTTGGCCTAAGGTTTTCTAAAGATTCTTCTTTCAAACTTTCAGCCTTTGCAGATGCGAAATGGGCTTCTGATAGATGATAGAAAGTCTACTTCAGGAAATTGTGTTTATCTGGGCCAGAATTTGGTTTATTGGAGTTAAAAAAAACAACACTTAGTCTCTAGATCCAGTAGAGAATCTGAACTCAGAAGTCTTGCCTCAACTGCATGTGAGGTAATTTGGCTTCAATCTTTGCTAAATGAGTTGCATGTTTCATCACCAAATCCATCCATCATTTGGGTAGATAATCAAGGAGCCATCTCCTTAGCTTCCAATCCTGGTCATCACTCGAGAACTAAGCATGTGGAAATTGATATGCATTTATCCGTGAGAAGGTTCATCACAAAGTCATTTCTGTTCAACATGTTCCCTCCTTGTTCCAAGTTGCTGATATTCTTACAAAATCATTAAGTGGTCAATTCTTCAACCGGCTACGTCATTCATCCAATGTTCATCGTCACCCGACTTTCGAATTGATGGGGCATAAAGGAAGTCAATGCATAAAGGACGTAACATGAAGCTGGCATGTCCACATGCAAATGCAGTTACACCATCATCTTCATGGCAGTTTTTATTCTTACAGTTTTTATATTATTTATGGCCATGATCTAATAGTGGTCAGAGTTGGTTAGGGCTCAATGCATTGATGTATAAATAAGACCATCTTGTACGATAAACTTAAGCATTGAGAATAGAAAAGAGATTATCTTTGTCTTGAAGTTTCCCTTCTCGTTTATCATTTTCGTAACTATGAATCATCTGATTTTTCATCAACTACCAGCTTCATTCAGGTATTTTCTTATTTTATGCATTTATAACACAAGGGAAAACTCATAGTTCATTATGTGTTTATAACATTCTTTGCTTTATGCGTTTAATGTTCATTACCAGTTATATGGTTTGTAAACTTTTAACACAAGGTGAACTCATAGTTTCGAAATATTATTCAACTTTTTGTTTTTTTATGTGTAATTTGGCAAGACTTGGAGGTAGTTTTTTGAGCTTTAACCATATGAACTGATATTGTTGGCATAATGTTTTTGATGACCCTTTTTTTCCTGAATGATTTTCAAGATTTCATTTTTTCTGAACTTGCAGTTTGTGAAGAAGATGTTATCTGTTTTGCCTATGAATTGTTAGAGTCCATCACCGTATTTCGACCACTCCCTCTTTTGATATGATGAAAAGGTTCACTTTCTCTTGTCCAAAACGTAAAGTTTTTATTTACGCTCTAAATCGAGCCAAAAAAAATTCTTTTTTCTCTTATTAAAATCTACTATGTTTTAACTTTTGATCTACATTTTGCAGTTGATTTCGGCAACCGATCGACACAGGCAGTCGATTGATCACCCCATCAAATTGATTTTGAGAAGGCATCCAAATACTCTAAAATTCAAGATCCATCCAGGTACATTGTGTGATTCTATATTTGTTGTTTTAGGATGTTAAAATTGGCGTTTGAAAAAAAAAAAAAAAAATATCATTGTTTTATGTTATGAAGGACCTGAATACGGTGGTGTTGACACCCGAGCGAAAAAGATATCTTCATTTCTTTTCCACCCGATTTTTCCGCTAGCGATTTCTGTACAACAGACCGTGTATTTGCATCCGGCAGTTGTAAATATTCATTTCCGACGATGATCTTTTATTATTAACTCACTTCCTCTCAGTTGCTATGAGTTAGATCAAGATTTTGTTTTGCTATGAGTTAGATCAAGATTTTATCTCTTAGTGTATCTGTACAATAAGGGCTTACATTGAGACAGCCCATACTATTACTGTTTGCTTGGTTGATATATAACACTTAATCAAGTCACTACTCACTAGTTTCATTTTATTATTTTTATTTATTTATTTCTGATGTGTGTTGAGAAAATGTTATGGTTTACAGTAGACTTGTCTAATTTAATTATGATATTTTCTAATGTTTAGAGTAGACTTGTCTAATTTAATTATGATATTTTCTAATATTTACAGTAGACATGTCCAATTCATATCATATAATCGTCTCATAAGCAAACACCATTGATATGCCCATTACCACATAAATCAAAAGACAACTCTACATACTGTGGCAAAAAAAAAAACCTCTATCCATACTGTGGTGAACGCCATCCGGCGGCAATAAAGATATGATATGATATTTCCCTTTATTTTATTATTAATTATTTATTTTATGAGATGTAATATTTTTTTACATATAAACAAAATCAAAACACAAGATAACAATTACAAAGTCACTAATACAAGACCTAAATATAAAAAAAGGGCTACGTATAAAAATTAAAAAGTTCTAGCCAGTAATACAAGACCTAAATATAAAAAAGGGCAAGACCTAAGTATAAAAAAAGGCTTATTTATCCCTTTCATCGTACGAAAGGACACTCACGTAGCATACCAGCTGTCCGCAATAAACCCGTTAAACTCGATCTCTGTACCACACAGTTACTATATAGTCATCCGGAAAATAATTTATATAATATGCCTTTAAACAATCTATACTAATTTTATATATATTACAACCATATATATCTTACAACAGTTATACACATATATACCATACATATATATATATATATATATATATATATAGGGTCACGCTCCGGTGAGAATGATGCTTAATGCGAGAAATAAGAATACATCTTATCTATCGGATTGAGTGATCCAGCGGATAAAAAAACCCAGCATCTATACATTTATTCAGGGCAACAAAGTAATTTCTCAACACATTGAAACCAACTCCATTCAAATAACCCACACGTGACTGGGTCCCACTCCACTAACAAATCCCTCTCAACCTGTTAATCGTCTCTATCTGTCTCACCTCAACTTTCTCTTTCTCTCTTTTTTTTCTCTCTCACACAGACAACACACACTTAGCACACACATTCATCCCACACGCAGCACACACAAACACACAGACTCAGCACACACAAAACTCACACACAAAGCACGCACAAAACACGCACACTCAGCATACAAACGCGCCTGTACCCGCCGCAAAAATCCACGCCAGCCCAGCCCCCGGAGCCGCCGATCGAGGCTGTCCACTGCCGGCTTCCGGAGCTCCAGCGCTGCCGGTCCGTTAGATTCCCGTCGTAGAGGCCGGCACCGACATCCGCAACCAATGTCCGCCGCTCCAGGCCCGCCGTAGCCACCGCCTCGTCTTCTTTCATCTCCCGACATCCGCCGTGCTCCACCACGTCCCGCCACTGATCAACCCTCTCTGCCGACGAGAGGTGGTGGAAGAGAAGCCCGCGACCAATATGCTCTGATTGTTCGAGGGAAGTCCACGGTCAAGCTGCTCCCCCGTTCGATGATGTCCGGCGACATAAGAGGAATAAAATCTGGCGGTCGGAAGTTTCAGAAAAATGGCTGGGAAGGGGGGATTTTTTTTTGTAAATTTGATATCTTGAAGGGACCTAATTGTGAAGTATGAAGTTTTAACTATAATACAATTAAGTCCATGGGCTAAATTTATAATTTATAGAAAATATATAAAAATATTATTTTATATATATAAAAACATATTTTTATACATACATATATTATATGTGTTTCATCCAAAAGTAATATAAAAAATTGATCAAAAATATTAAAATATTGAATTATTTTTAGGGTTTCTTTTTTTTTTAAAAAAAAAAAGTTAGATAGTGCTCAAGGACAATCTTGCAATTTTATTAATTTTGATTATTTTTCTAATTAAGTTCATGACCAAATATTTAATTTATAGCAATATTCTCATAAATGCATATTAATGATAAATAAGGTGTGCAATGATTAAAAATTTTTAAATCTCAAATTTTAATATATAAAAAAAATTTAAATAATAAAAATACTCTTATAGTAATAAATAATAACTAATTTAACGTATTAAGGTTCATTCGACGTACAATTATATCAACTAAAACTAGTTTCAAAAGGCACATAATTTATACGTGATCATATAAAGTAGTGCACTTTATATACGAGCACGCTGCACATTATAAAACAAGGCGTTGCACTTTATAAAACAATCCGTTGCACATTATCAGCACAATACACAATTATTATTAGTAGTTATCATAAGAAATATTATGCAATATAAATTTAGAAAAATGGATCTACATAATATTTTAATATTCATGACATCGTCTATACACTAAAAAACACAAGAATGATAACGTACCAAAATTTCACTTTTGCATTTTATATATCAATACGTTGCACTTTATACAATGATACGGTGCACTTTATAATACAACATGTCGCACCTTATAAAATAGCACGCTATGCGTACAAAAAAATACGATAACCTGACTCTTGGGCTCTAACTTAGTATAACATGCCGACGTCAATGTCAATTACATCTTTAGAAGTGAAGGAAAGGTGTAATTGAGCATAGATAGTGGTCTAATGCCAAGGCCGATGACGGAAGCTCGGGACGGAGCCGTATGAGGCGGAAGTCTCACGTACGGTTCTCTGAGAAGGGAGTGGCTACTTACTGGAGCTTCGGGTGCGGGGCCTCCCGTGTGAGGTCAGGTGATGGTCAACAACTAAGGCAGGAAATGTTGAGAAGCGGCTAACGATGCAAGAGCTCTTTTCCCTTGAATAATATTAGTTGGTTAAATGTTGGATTTAGTCTTTTTAAATAAATTAAATAACTGAACATACCGAACTATATGAAAAAACACAAACAGGCTGACGTGCCAAAAATAACACGCTATATCAATACGTTGCACTTTATACAACGACTATACAAACATGCTAACGTACCAAAATTTCACATTTGCATTTTATAAATCAATACGTTGCACTTTATGCAATGATACGATGCACTTTAAAACACAACATGTCGCACCTTATAAAATAACACGCTACGTGTACAAAAACATACAATAATTCTACTAATCGGTCTAATAATATTAGTTGATTAAATGTCGAATTTAATATTTTTAAATAAATTAAATAACTGAACATACCGAACTATATGAAAAATATTACCAATTCTTTTTTATGTATATATTTGTTTATGAATTATAATACTATTTTTTATCTATATTTTTTGTATGAGATGCGAGTGCACATTATGATTATACGAGTTGCACATAAATGTCTATTAGATTGCACAAAATCGAATGAGATCCAACGAGCATGAATTCGGTACGAAATTTTATATTTTGTTTCGATTATTATTATTATTATTATTTAATAATAATAAATAATAAATTATTGTGCATTTTGTGCGCGTTTGACATTTATTTTTTTATTTTTATTTATAATATAAATAATAAATTATTGTGCATTTTACTAATAATATATTGTGCAAATATTCATCATGTTTACCAATTACAAGTGTAAGAACATATCAAATTTCCAAAATTACAAATAGATCCTCTACATTTGTCTAATTTCCAACAATAGAACCCAACTCAAAAAATTGAAATCTGAATCCTAACTCAAAAAATCCAAATCTGATAATTGTACGCCTGCACATCCCCGTTTCTTCCGGACGGCGCCGGCGCCGCCGCCGCCGCCTTCTTCTCTCCCGCCGGTCTCCGCCGCCGACATGGAGGCCCTCGCCGTGAAGGACGCTTGTCAAACGGAGTTCTCTTCTTTCAGAATTTCTGTCGGCGACGGGAATGGATGTGCTGTGGCGGTGATTGGCGGCTGACGAGTGCCGGCGCGGCGGGCGAGTGGTGGTTCTCTCCGCCGGCGAACTGCAACCTCCGAGGAGTGGTTCTCGCCGCCGATGGTGGCCTGTTGCGGCGTCGAGGCGAAGCTGTGGTGGACGGACGGCTGAAGTGAAACGGCGGACTGTTGGCGGAAGGCGGAGGCGGGTGGTGACCTGTCAACGGCGGGGTGTTGCTGTGGCCGTCGAGCTCGCGCCGTGAGCTTTGGACGGGCTGAAGGCATCGGCTGCCGGAGGCGGCAGCAGGTCCGTCGAGGGCGACGACAGGCCGGCGGGGCTTGCTGCGGTGGTGGGTCGTGTCAGCCGCCGAGATGTAAGCCGCCGGCAGGTGGTGGCTGCGTGTGTGGTGTGTAATTGTGTGTGTGTGTGTGTGAGAGAGAGGGAGAGAGGGAGAAGAGAATGAGGGAGAGAGGAAACGTGACTTTAATTATAGGAGTGGGGCCCACTGTTTTTTTGGTATGATAAAATTACACAAATGTCCTCTGATGTATTTATTTGGTCATGAATTACTCATGTATTTACAATTTTGCCCTGTATATTTGACCTGTTATTTAATTTTGACTTCATCATGTCCATTCATATAGTTGATCCCATGGTTCAGAATCATTCTTATTTCTCGCATTAAGAGTCATTCTCATATGATCCCTTACCTATATATATATATATATATATATATATATATATATTACAACCATTTTATACAAAAGCTATACACACATATATACCTTACGTATATAAATATGTATGAATCTAAATGGAGGAGTATATTTTTATCTTGTTTTTGTCTATGATATTAATTTGTAATATTCTACACATTATTTATTAATTAAAGTCAATTAAATATCCTTGGAAGTACATATGAAAATTATCAGGTATTTCATTATATTAATTGCTAGTAAAATACTCTAAGAGTCTGTACACAAATTTTAATCAAATAGGAGAATAGAGATATGTATTTCATTTTTATTATTATTAGAAAAATAATTACTCACGCCAATATTTATTTAGTTTCTAGATTAATATGGAATAAATCATATAATTAGCACGATTCAGGTAATGGTACACATGTGAGTTCCGTCCATGCTAAGAAGGGCTCGAAACACGGATCTTTCTTGATCCCAGGCATTCGATCTTCAACATCTTTTGTTTTGCAATAGTCTTCGAGATGACCCGCCAAGAGTCCAGACTGCCCAAAGGAACAAAAANCCCACCAAAGTAAAAAAAAAAAAGAAAAAAAAAAAGAACAAGAGTTAATTCAAATGACACAAAAACAAAGAGTGATATGATGGTAGTTAGATAGCAAAATGATATACCGAATAATAAAGGGCCTCTTCGGTGGCCTCCAAAAAGTCCCGTCTTTTTAAAATCTGCTTGGCTTTGGCATCCAAAGTTTGCCCATTGACAGTATGAAGTAAATCGACGTTGAGTAGTCCTCTTATCTCCAATGCCAACTGGCCCAACTCCTTAAGCTCCGACATATTTTCAGATATCTTTTCAGCCAATAAACGGGTGCCGTCCTTCTAAGAAAAAACATAGTTTCAATAACAAAACGTAAGATGAGAAAAAACGAACAGAGTTTCAGAAGCAAAAGTAAAGATCGTCAAGAAAAATGAACAGAATTACACGCACCGTATAAAGAGAATCGAAAGCATGGGGATTTATGTAGTTGAGGAGGAAGTCGATTTTACGCCATTCATCGTCATCATCTTCATCATCATCCACATATTCATATTTCTCCTTCTTAGAAACCTAAAAAAAAAAACCCAATTCATTCAACAAATTCCACAGCAGACAACAATATCATCAAACTTTTGAAAATCGACTTACATCCATTGACAAATCGGCACCTTTCTCGACTTCTTTCTAGTCACATTGACAAATCGGCACCTTTCTCGACTTCTTTCTAGTCACATTCCATCGTCAATTTGGATGATAAATTTGGGTTTATTTAAGATTCAATATTTTCCATGTCTTTTATGAATGCAACAATTTTAATTTGTTTGTTTGCTTAAAATTTAATAACAGTTTATATATATATAAGACAACTAACCTAGCAACAAATCTCAACTAACAAGCAGAAAGAAATAAATAACAAATTTCTTCAAGGAAAAATATTCAAAACTACCTTTTTGTCTTAAAAATAATAGAACTTCACAAAACATTGAATGTTATGTTGATGATGTGGTTGTCAAGTCAAGAAAGCGAGAAGATCTCCTCGAGTGTCTGGATCGTCTTCTCGGCGCCGCTGGTCGGTCTCGGCGTATATTCAACTGATCAACAAATTTGAACTCGATTATAGATTGAATATCACGCACAGTCGGGTCAAATTTAGTCAACAGTTAGGGATAAATTTCATCTTAGTTAAATGTACACAAGCGGGCCTAAGGACAAATTTTCTACCCATAAAAAACTAAATTTAACGACTGGATATAGGCCGACTGTGTAAGACAACTAGTATAACTCATAATTAAGCCATTGGCTTCATTTTTTATTTTCTTTATTTATTTTTTTCTGATGTGTTAAGAAAATGTTATTGTTTACAATAGACTTGTCTAATCTAATTATGATATTTTTTAAATATTGGATCAATGAACAAAAAAATAACCAATTTTCATATATTCACAATTATTAGGTTAAAATTTAAGGTACAAGAAATAGGCATGTCAACTTAGGGGACCAAAATAAAAATTTTTACTTCTGACTACGAATTAAGGTGAACAACTTGATAGCTGATAGATTGTATCACTGGAATAATTTTCACCGAGTATGTATTGTGCTTGTTAAATGCATCAAGTGAAATCAATACCATAAGAATTTGAGCATTAAAGATGAATGATTGCAGCAAATAATAACATCTTCATCTTTATACCGATTCATATCATATAATCATCTCATATCGAGATGCCCATTACTATAAAAAAATCAAAAGATAACTTCAATATAAACAAAACCCAAAACAAAAGTGTCATTAAACCATAAAACATTCATACTGCGAATCTTATGGCCCTTTGCAGCAGGGCCTAACAAGATAGGCGACGGGCAAACCATCTCCTCAAAGTCAGGTTTTTTATCCTCAATCTGCACACAAAAGGCTTGGTCACATGGAAATATTATAAAGACAACAGAACGGAGCTAATTACAATAGTAAAATCGGCAAGTCACATACCGTTTTAATAGCAACCTTATAAAGACAAGACTCTTCACCATACCTGTCGGCCAACGCTTGTTTCAGTCCCTGTTGAATATTTAAATAATTTCAGATATTTCTTTGGTTGATTTGTGACTTCATATAGACAAAACAAAATGATATATACTCTTACATTGAGATTAGCAGGATAATCAATATTACTAAATAAATCAGACCGGGTGAGAGGAGGTTTGGCAGCCATTCTTAGTCTGTGAGATTCAATTCTCATCTCAGTCAACTTAGTGTGGAACTCCTCATCGCACAAGTACCCGAACAAAATACACAATGTTCCCCTTCAATACATAAAATTAGACAGACACTTAGGGCTAATATCACATTACAACAAACATAATGAAAGATATAATAATAGAATGCATCTTACCTCATAACATCAAAGGGGTCCGTCCATCCCAAGAAGGGCTCAAAACACGGATCTTGCTTGATCCCAAGCATTCGATCTTCAACATCTTTTGTTTTGCAATAGTCTTCGAGATAACCCACCAAGAGTCCAGACTGCCCAAAGGGAACAAAAGAAAAAACAAGAGTTATATATGTCATGATAGGAACAATTCCTAACAATTCCTATTCAAATGACACACACAGAAAACAAAAAAAGAAACAAAAACAAAAAAAAGGAGAGTTATAATATCATGATAGCTAGCAAAATGATACCGAATAATAAAGGGCCTCTTCAGTCGCCTCCAAAAAGTCCCGTCTTTTTAAAATCTCCTTGGCTTTGACATCCAAATTTTGCATACTGACAGTATGCAGTAAATCGGCGTTGAGTAGTCCTCTTATCTCCAAGACCAACTCCTTAAGCTCCGGCATATTTTCAGATATCTTTTCAGCCAATAAATCGATGCCGTCCGTCTAAGAAAAAACATAGTTTCAATAACAAACGTAAGATCAGGACAAACGAACAGAGTTTCAGAAACAAAAGTAAGATCCGAAAAAAATGAACAGAAACAACGAACGTAAGATCACGACACATGAACAGAATAACACGCACCGTATAAAGAGAATCAAAAGCATGGGGATTTATGTAGTTGAGAAGGAATTCAATTTTACGCCATTCATCATCATCATCTTCATCATCATCCACATATTCATATTTCTCCTTCTTAGAAACCTAAAAAAAAAAACCCAATTCATTCAACAAAATCCACAGCAGACAACAATATCATCAAATTTTTGAAAATCGACTTACATCCATTGACAAATCGGCACCTTTCTCGACTTCTTTCTCGTCACAATCCATCGTCAATTTCGCAAACGCTAACCTCGATACTATGAAGTCAAAACAACCGTCCCCCTATTATATAAAAGCCCTTCGTTTCCTAATCGTAATCCAAATTGGAAAAAAACTACTTTTAAAATTATAAAATATTTAATTAATTTTAAATTATAAAATACATTTTCATACTCAATAAAATCAAATTTCATATATAAAATTAGAGGAAATAGTTAACGACTTACATCCATGACATCTCTAATGCTCAACTTTCAACATTAATTAAATTTGAACACATCTATACTTTTATTAAAGGGAGTCATATTTACCAAATTAAGTAGCTAGAAAAGTCAACAACATTTATTGGATTACTATTTTCGTATTATACAATCTATACTTATATAAAAAGAGATTCTATTTACTACATTTACTATCCAGAAAAGTCAACTGCATTAAATACCATTACTATTTTGGTATTATAATATTTTATTTATCTAATTGATTTATTTATTTGTTTTATTTTAAAAAAGTAAGTATAATAAAAAGATTTTAATAATAAAAAAATCAAATACCAAATAAAAATATACACTTTGACTTATTTGATTATATTTGGTATTTGATTATACCAAATATATTAGTATAGACATTAAATACTTACTAAAAAATTTATTTCTTTTATTTGTCAAAGTTAAGTATAAATTTGTTTATATTATCAAATCATAAAAAAATATTAAATCCAATATTGTAAAAAAAAATTCATATAATTTTATAACAATTCTACTACACTATTTAACAATATTTTTGTTTATTATATAATAAAATAATAATTAAATTTATATGATGAACAACAATAAGTAAAACTGTTGATTTCTCTTATATCAAAGGATAAATTTATATGCTAAAATTAAATTTTTATTAGTATAAATGTTTTAGTGAGATAATATATAAATTATTTTACAAGCTAGCCCTAACATGCTCATGTTTAATGTTTTAAAAGATGTAGAAAAAAACTAATAATAACTCTATTGTTTTTTTAGACTTAAACGTTGATCAAAAGAGGTAAAAATTTCTAATTTTTTAGACTTAAACGTTGATTAACACCATAGATTGAGAGTCTATATTTAGTAAAATTCCTAATTGTATTAAAAAAAATTAATTTTTGCTATTTTTAGAATATCTTTAAATTCAATATAAAAAAAGAAAAAAAAAAACTACAATGAAAAAAACAAGTCAGCTATATATCGATTTGTTGTACTCCTCAAATCACATTTTCAATTTGGCTACAAGGAAAGGAAACTTATTGATTAAAATATTATTTTGTCAGTAATCTTAATGTACAAGAGACTTTAAGACTCCACTTGAATATTATAAAACTTTTATTGAACATTGTACAATTTTCATACGTATTATAAACTTTTATTGAATATTGCATCTTATAATATAATATTCTCCACATAAATATATCCCGTGCTTCGCACGGGTCACGTACTATATATATCCCGTACATTTTTCTTTATTCATGTATATAATTATAAGCCTGGATAAATAGCCTTAAAATTGTGGCTCTGTACTAGTGTCAAATAATGAATTGAATGTAAATCCATGTAATATGAATGTCAAAAGAGAACACTTTAATTTGGAATGCACATCTCCAATGTATCCCTTTCAAAAGCTTAAAATAAATACAAGTGGATTTTGATTTATTTAATAATAAATAAGCTAAAAAAAGTTTAAAAACTAAATACTGGTAACCTCCACAAGTTCCCTACACAGTCTTCAGAACAAAATTCCATCAGATTGGTTCCCTTCCTGCGCAATCACTTCACCTACGCAGCCTTCACCTCCAATTTTCAATTCCTCAACACCTCAGTTACACCGCGAGGTTAATTTTTCTCATCTAGAACACAAAATACCGTCAGAGGAGGCTCCATCAATTGTCGTTACAGGTAATCATAATTTTTAATCCATATTTAATGCTCTTTTAATTGTATCAAACAATAGGTGAAAATATTTTGTTCATGTAATTCTCCTCCTGTTTGATATTATGGTTTAATAATTGTGATCAATTTTTTATCGTGTAAAAAACTCGTATCATATTGATGCAGAAAGAATGACATCAGAAGACTCTAATTCACACTCAATGGGTGAATCATTGAGCACCGAGTCTCTTTCACTTACTAAGGGATTGTTTGGATATGACAATTTTGATGAAGATGTAGAGTCATACGTGGTTCTAATTGGTACAGTACATGTTCCATTTATGATTCCTCATTCTTAACGGGTAGGAAAAGTCCCCATGGAGGCTCAACGGTTGGCAGGGCCTGTATTCGTCGTGATAGGAGAGATCGCCATGAATTAATTTTAAACGACTACTTCAAGGGTGACAAGTCAAAGTACACCCCAGACAAATTTCGGCGTCGATTTCGCATGGATATTGAATTATTTGAATGGATTTTGCAAGCTGTAACTAATTATGATGATTACTTTCACAGAAAGTTGATGCTGTTGGAAATATAGGGTTGAGTCCTTTGCAAAAAGTAGTAGCAACAATACGCATGCTTGCGTATGGTTGTTCAGCTGATTTCCTTGACGAATATGTTCAAATTAGTGACAGCACTGTAATTGAATGCCTAAAGAGGTTTTGTGATGCTATAATAGGATTGTTTGAAGAAAAATACTTAAGAAAACTAAATAAACATGATATTTCATTGTTATTAGAAGAAGGCGCAAATCGAGGGTTTCCAGGAATGCTTGGCAGCCTAGATTGTATGCATTGGCATTGGAAGAATTGTCCAACTGCTTGGCATGGGGCATATATGTTGTAGTTATTTTTACCGGAGTTAAACCAAATGATTCAATCCCCAGGTCGTCGCTCAAGGAAGGTCAGCCGGATTATTTGTACGGATATTCAATCACACGAAAAAGAAAATAAATTCCTAAATGCTCTAATTCAATGATTTGAGTTTTCAATTATCAACTAATAATTCTCAAATAATGCAAATAAACAATTATCAAAACGTAAAACGAGTTTCTTCTACGTACGAAGGCTAGGGAATCAACGATGATTATACTCAAATCAAATTCAAATACCAAGCAAAAATCGTTCGGCTAAATGATTCAATCAACCTACACATCTAGAAATTATTCCTCAATAACATCTCGTAACAAAAGGAAAAATATAGACGGTAAATCAAACCAATCAATTAACACGTAGGCAATACAATTACGAACAAGCCTACTCTAGTCGAGCCTAAATCGACCGACTTCTCCCCTTTCGATTCTACAAGTCGATTAATTAGATCAGAATGGTGATCAAGCATCTAACCCTAGGTTTATATCAATTCGAAAAGATTGAACGAAATTCACAAGCACGATAAGCACACGAGTACGAGTAATCACCCCCTATCCCTAGCTTAAAGATTTAGCCACTCATGCCAAGATGAACACAAAGCATTGTATACAGTAAATATTCCAAACTCATAATCAAGATGAGAAGAAAACTTACGATAGATAAATAAAAAGTGTTAATCTCAAGCACAATCCAAATCCACGATGAAATAATCTTGGGTGTCACTCCCAAAATTCTCAAAATAAGCCAAAGATAAAAGGAACAAGTTTTTATCTGATAAAACGAGAGAAAAAAACGAAAGTGAAGAATGATCTCTAAACCCTATGCTCGATCCTACATAATAGCGAACAGTTTCAGCATTCAAAAGATCAGACGCCGCGACGCGACGTGCTGATATGGCAGCGCGAAGGATCTCGCGGCATGGTGGTCACGGCGTGAAGGGGCTGAATCGCCGCGGCACTAGCTTGTCGCGGCGTGGCATTTGAAGAAGCTCGACTTCTCTGTACGTGGTCGTGCTGTCGTAGGCACCCAAATTAACCTTGCTTGAATATATATAGTAGCGTGAGCAAGGATCGTATCCACGGAGAATAATATAATTAAATGACTGTAACTATGTGATTAAAATGGGGGAGAATTGGTTTTTAATCCTAATTATCTAGTTAATAAGAAAATAAAGAAAGCAATAGTAAACAGTTCTTGAACAAGATATTCGCAAGCAACAGCAAGATGAAGATGAAAGATATTACCAAAGTGCTCCGGTTGAACTGATTTCCACCCCGAATTATTTTACTGATCCTCGATGCAAATATTATCAATTCAATAATACGTAGATGTCGTTGAATGATGAATTCTGACTCCTAAATTGGCTACGCAAAATAAATCCTCCTACACAACCCCCATTACTAGGCAATTCCCAACATCGTGTAAAATTATCCTAGCAATAGCATTAAGAAGTAGAGCCCGACAACACAAGCAACAAATAACTAATCTGTTAAATGCTAACTTGTATAACTATTTTGCCTAAGAATGATAACGCCTAAATCCGGTCAATCACCACACTTAGATGCTTCTTACGATAGATAAATTATCTAAATCCGACTCAATATCTACCAAGCAATAGATTAAGTGCACAAGACAATAGTTGATCAGGCTACGATCCTAACACAAAATCATAAACATAAACACACAAAACCATTAATACGAAATATGAATTAATAGATAAAAACTAATTAAATCTCACAATATTAAGTTCGGGGTTTCAATCGTGTTCAACGGAAACGAAAGAGAATTAGCCGCGCAGGGCTTCCATAGATTCTAACAAAAGTGTCGAAGAAAAATAGAACAAAGAGAAGAGAGTGCTTTTAAGGCTGCTGGTGGCGTCCAATTCCTCCTTGTCTACTCCCTTGCGGCTGTTATCGTTCCGTTCAGTGTAGGTATCCTCAAATCTGATATCCGCTGCTTCTATTATGGCTGTCCTTTAGTAGCAATAATGGGCCTAGCAATAATAGGCCCACATCCAAAATAACTCGCAGCACTGTCTGTTCCTTAGAAGTCCAACATTGTCATGTCCATCAACATTCCACTGTTGCCATGTTGGTTATAATGATCAACTGCACACAAAATTCCAACAATAGTAGTTTCCACTCGAAATTATAAGTTAAGGTCGAAAATAAATTAATTAAGCACAAATATCCAACATATTTCCTCAGTTACATTACAAAAGTAGCACGTATTTTCGACTTATCAAACATC